TCAATATTATCTCATGGGATGTAAATCCCCATATCCTGGAGTATTTTCTCAGCTTGCAGTATTTTAAGTCAAAGAAATTTTTGTTTCCACCCAGTTTGTTTTAATTTATCTATGTCTCTGACAGGTGAAGTGGGATTTAAGAACATTTTAATATTTATATCTGAGTGCTCAAATATTTTATTTTGTAAAAAAAAATAAGATTTCTTTGGAGGATCATTCAGAAAATTAATCAAGAGATCAAAAATATAGCCTTACACAAAATATCTTGTGACTACCACTTTTCAAGTGGTTTTCTAAATTTATATTTTCTTTATTGAAATCATCTCATAAGTAATTTTCCCAGTTTCCCAAAAATAGGAGAAGCTATTCTTTTCCTCTGTAAATAGAGCTTTAGTCTCACTCAAGTAATCATCTGAATGTTTTGTCCTTGTGGTTTTTTGCTCTTGACTTCTGTAGGGAAATTATGAAATTCCACAATTCATCTCTCCAACAGTTATTTATTGTTTGATGTACAGGCCTGTGCTTAGAGACGTTCAGTCATTATTTTCATATAGCCAGTTTCAAAATTGCATGTCATGATAACTTAGGCAAATTATAGATGAGACTGATACTTCTAGGAAGTGTTGAAAAATTCTGATCCTTAACTTTTAGGGTTTTATCTATTTAAATTCCTTTAAAAATTTCTTGTAATGCTTTTGGTTTTTCACCTGTAAAATGGAGGAGCAATATTATTCCACCTTCAAGAACTGCACACCTACTGGAACACAGCAGACGTGATGAAATAAGTATGAAAAATGCCTCAAATTTTAACAGGTGTTAGAAAGAAAGGCAGTTCCCATATTTCTCATGATTTCTATGTCATGGATACTGGAAAAGGACATCTCAGTTGGACAAGAACAATGGTTAAAAGTTCCTCTTCTCTCTTAATGTTGCATAGCTTGTATCAGATAGTAAATGTGCAATTTCTTTTCTTACATTATAAAACTTCTGTAGGGTTCAACGATATTGCCTTAAGTTTTTTCTAATACTTTAATGAACGTGTTGAACTATACATTATATGTTTTCTATGAAAATATTTTCTTGGATATGGAAATATTAAAATGAAAATATTAAAATTACATTCTTGAGATATACTATCCAGAATTGTGGGAATCTTGCAGCTATTTAAGTGGCTGTAGTTTTTTATTTTGATATAATTCAAGCACAAAGTCAAAGGCACTAGTACAAAGCTGTACTACTCAAACCAGGTCTTCTAGCTTTCAATCATCTGGGATGCTATGAATTGTTAAAGAGAGAGCTATTTTTATCTTTAGAAGGTTAGTAATTGACTAGGCTTTTGGTTGAAAGAAGCAAATATTCTCAAATTGACCCTCTACAACATAAATTACCAACTGAGTATGGCTGATGCAGTACTTCCATTTTTATATCAGATAGTGCTATAAAAGCAGTGAACTAAGGACTTAGCATATAATGAGTACTTCAATAGAGCATCAAAAATCTTATTAATATTTCTATGTAGTTCTAATTGGATCAAAACAGAAATAATTTCAGCTGAAATCTGCTGAAAAGAACTTCCTTGATACCTTGACTATTAAATGAAATCATCAGAAACACAGTGTTCATGAAAACAGCAAAATATGGGCAAGAACAAAAATTAATCCCTTGGATCCAACAGTGAGCAAATCTTCCTTGAAGAGAAGAATAAGCAAAAGGAGCAAAACCATCATTACTAGCTAAGCTTTACCTGCTTTTCTCAGTATTAAAAACAAACAACAAAAATCAATAGGGAATAATTGTAATATCTTGAGAAGATAATGTAAAAGCTATATGGCAAAAAGTAGTGAGTGACTGGGCTGAAGCTTAGTCTTTGTACTGAAGTTAATTAAAGATGAAATGAAAGAAAAAAGGATCTGTAGCTTTTAGTAATCTTGTGTAGCCCATAAAGTGTGTTTCAAGATATATCTCAGTTGGATTTGGTCACATCACTGTTATGATGGGTGATCAGAAACAATGTTTTTGTTTCCTCAGTTCTAGCACGTTAAATGCAATAATCAGCAATTCTTAATTAAAAGTCTTTCTTCTTCCTTCTCTTCTGAAATCACAAGCATGAACCTCTAATCTTTATGTCCCATTTGATTTTAATTAGAATATTTTATAGAACTGCTAGAATTAGACTAGGAGGAGGGTGTTTGGACAGTAAGCCCTAGAATTGTACCATGAAGTTATCCACAGATATATTAGCTTTTTGTTAGAAGAATGTGGGGAGACTTCTTGGAGTTAGTCAAGACATTCTGATGTGTGCAAGTTAAAACTTTGACCTGGCCACATACATAAGCATTTTATTACATGAGGATGGTAAAGGGACTTAAGGGGAAGCCATATGAGGAGCGGCTGAGGTTGCTTGGTTTGTTCAGCCTGGAAAACAGGAGACTGAGGGGAGACCTCATTGCAGTTTACAACTTCCTCATGAGTGGAAGAGGAGGGGCAGATACAGATCTCTTCACTGTTTTGACCAGTGATAGGATCTGAGGAAATGGCACCAAACACAGTCAGGGGAGGTTTAGGTTGGAGGAAAAAGTTTTTCACCCAGAAGGTGGCTAGGCTCTGGAACAGGTTCCTAAGGGAAGTGGTCACAGCACCAAGCCTGACAGAATTCAAGAACCATTTGGACAACAGTCTCAGACACATGGTGTGATTCTTGGGGTGTCCTGCACAGGGCCAGGATTTGGAACTCAACTTCTGCTTACTTCCTGCTTTGGTGCTTGTCTTTTTTTAAAAATTGACGTGTTCTAGGTTTGGAGATACAAAACAGTGGGATAAATGACTCTAAAAAGTAGTTCTGATCAGTGGAAATAATAAAGTTCAGTTCTTCTTGAATTTGGATTTTCTGCAGTTTAATAAGGTGAAAGTTCCCCCTAGTGCTTCTTCTAACCTGTGAGTCATTCATAGCATCATTCTTCCACATAGATTCTCTGATATCTGTGAGGAACTGACCTCATCTTTCACCTTTTTCCCCAATAAAGGCAATAATAGAGTCTCTCTCCTCTTCTTCACTCAGCTGTCTATTTCAAAAAAACATATTAGATCTTAATGTACTGACATCTGAAGTGCTCAGTCAGATTTGACTGGAACTGGCTGACAGTTCAAAAGCTATTGGAAAAGGATGGATAAATATACCTTCACACACACCAACAGTGTTATGCTAGTAAAGTGCACTTCCTGAGGAAACTAAGGCAAAAATCCTTTCTGAGCATACTCAGAAGCCTGTGCTGTATCTCAAAACAGAAGCTTTTTCATGTAAAAATGTCCTGTGTAAAGACTATGTTCTGCATAGTTCTCTGAAAATCAATGATTTAACATCAAAAAGGAAGAAACAAATTCCAGAGGAAAAGAAGTGCAATTTTAGTACAATCCTGATAATATGAACCACATCAGTAAGTTTAGCCTGTACCACTAGTGCAAAGTCTGATTCATGCTTTCAGCACAAGCTATCATGATTACAGAAAAACAGCTTAATCCCTTCAAATTCATGTTAGAAGTGTTGCATTTATTCATAAATCAACACAGTGAGTGAAAGGAGTGCCATTGCTTTGGAATCTCCTGTCCAGGAATTTTGAAATCACTGAGGAATCTGTAGCCCTTTGTCATTGCTCTAAATTGTCACTCCAGTAGGAGAAACTTGTGCTCCTCTGCACCATGACAGATGCTATTGTGAGTAGTACCTAATGTGCACTTTTAATCCAAGTTAGAAACTCTGGCCTGAAAATGTACATTGTACTAGTACATATAACTTTAAAAGTCTGAGATGGAACATTTAAATATGAAAGAGAGCAACAAAATAATATTTACCTGAGGAACTTCACATGTAGTCAAATGTGACCAATTTGTTGATTTAAATTTAGATATGGAGGATTCAGTGGATGTCTTCCAGAGATGATTAATCCTACCCTTCAAGAGATGGGATAAAAAAACACACAAAAAGGACCTATTCCTCTCCACTGAACATGAAAGGCACATTGTTGAATAGATGCCCAGCATTTTAATGACTAAAAAAGATGAGATAAAGGATCATTGCAAATAATGAAGTCTTACTCAAAAACCGTTCCCCAGCCTCCATATTCCCTCTCCAGGAAGTCCATACCATTCTAGTGCAAAGTGTAACACCTATTGCTAAAAGTTTGTATCTACACACTACTGCCTTCTGTCAACCATGTCCAGTGTTAACAAATTAGACTGAAAATCCTAAATTCATTGGGTGTCTTTCCATTGTCTCTGTTGTCTCTTTAAAGTTCACCATGTGTCGTGCTGATATGTAAATGGAAATGCATTAGACTGTTGTCTATGATACTTTTTGTCACTTGAGATGTTAGAAGCATAAAAAACCAAACCAAATCAAACCAAACCAAACTAAACCAAAACAAGAAAATACCAAACCCTACCTGATCTCTTTATGAAATTTTCAGAGAAGACCGAAGGGTATTTTCATCTGAAAACAGCATGATATCCCTTTGTCATGGTGCAGTTCTGAATAATTTTATGAAATTTGTCAAGATTATCCTGGATTTACTGTGCTTTGATAAGGAGGAGATTTTAATCCAATGATAGTGTGACTGACAGTTCTAGCTTACATAGGAAGAGTGAGAAGTCTCCTCGGGATCCTCTGCATTAGGATCAGTCAGTTACTATCCAGCTGATTCCCTGGGTGTTTTTCCTTCACTTTTCAGTAGATTTTGTGTGGGAGGGCTGGGGAGACAAGCACTGCCATCAGTAGGGGAGTGTTGATTTTTGCATTCCTGAAAGTCACTACTGTGCTAAATGAAGATAATTGGCAGGAATCAATTAGTCTCATAAGAGGGTATTATTAAGAGTTGAGCTCTTTTCACAAATTGCCCCTTCTGCACTTATTGCTTGAGAGACATAATCTCAGCGATCCCGAACTTCACAAACAGGAGATTGATTTCCTCCTTTTTCTTTTTCTTTCCCCGCCTTAAACTCTGCAGGTCAGTCCCACCCCAGGGTGCATCCGGGCGTTAATGAAGATGTTGTACTGCCCTTACTGCAGAGGACTTCCCACTGTGAAACCTTGCAACAACTATTGCCTCAATGTAATGAAGGGCTGCCTAGCAAATCAGGCTGATTTGGATACTGAGTGGAATCTGTTCATAGGTAAGAAGAGTTTAAATATTAGTGGAAGGAAACGCTGGTAATAGCAAATATTTGCTGAGTTCTGTGAGGTTAGGAGACACTGATGGTCAATATTTGGAATGAAGCAACTGCAGATGCACCTCACTTTCTAATTGACCTTCCTGGCTTGCATTAAGAAATAACTGTTTGCCCTGCCCTGAGCCAGTCATGTTTAGTATTTCATATTTCAAAAGGAATGGTGTGGTGTTACAGCTTCGGAGCTGAATTATTACATGCTATGTGAAATGTCAAGAAAGATTTGGTTGAGGATTTGATAACAAGCTTAACATGGTAGAAATAGTATGTATTATCACTGAAAACTAGGCTCTTGCTAGCTGAGAAGATAATAACATTGTGTAACATGCAGTCAACATAAAGCACAAGAGATGCTGTTCTTAATTCTGGTAGTATATAGGCAAAAAAACTTTAAAAGTTACATACATCAGAAATTATTAATTCCTTATTCTTGCTTAAAATATGTCAATGTCTCCCCTTCAGTGTACTGAATAGAAAGTACCAAACACAAATGTTAGAATGGAGCATAGAGTATGTATTTAAGGAAAACTGCTACTACAGTTTTATTCACCTAATTCTTCACTCAAGTAAACTAAGAAGAAAATAAGAAAGAAATTTCCCTTAAACAGCCATTCAGTTATCCTGTAGCCAAAAAAAAAAAACAAACCACCACCACAAAAAAAATATCCTCCCAGAAGAGTAATATATAATAAGAAATAAGAGTTTTAGGTTGCTTTTTGTGATAGGATGACAGGGTAGGATGAGGAATTAGATAAGGCTAATGATAATATAGAAAGAACAGAAACAGCTACGTACACCAGTCACCAATGAGCATCATAGTTTAGACTGGATTTCAGGAAAATTAATACAGTTGGAAAAAAAAAGAGATAAAACTTTCTTTATTGTGACTGAAGAAAGGAAATGTTATTTTCTACTTTGGAAAGATAAAACACAAGCAATCTCGTCCTGCTGAATTTCAAACCCCACTGACCAATGTGACTTTGAAAATTTGATTCTGACTCATTCATGGATTTTTGCTTTACTCAGCAGGGCGAGATGTATAGGGAGAAGAAAACAGGATGAAAAATGAATCAGAGTATGAAATGTGAAAATGAGCATTGAGTGTGCTATAAAAATAGCATGCAAACAACAATATAAAACAAATGATGCATGTACACATGCCTTCTCAGTACCTAGTACTAGTTGAAGGAGTTGACATCAGAAACCGCGCTGTGTGGAGGGATACCCATCCGATTACTGGTGTGAAAAGGAGAGTCCGATCATCATCACCAAGCTGAGTGAGATCTGATGGGAAAACAATGCTAACCTATTAGAGACATTGCATAAGCTACTTTCCCTTTGTCATTAAAGAATAAGCAAGACCTGAAATGCCACTAATTCCAATCAAAGAAAATAATCTAGGCTTTTAGAAAAAACAAAGCAAACATTTGAATGACACAGTTTTTATTAAGGCATGCACCTGTTTAAATCAAAAGCCGGAAGGTAAGGTTTCAGGTCTTAAGAGAACATTTCATTTTCTGGTGCTTTAAATTCAGTAAGAGTGCTGGGCAGGGTGGCGTATGTGTTGGAAAGCATGGAAATGCTTACAGACCGAGACTTTCAGAGTCTTTAATGCAAAGCCCTTGTCTTCATCAATGTCTTTCCCGTTTTGATTTTTCTTACTCTCAGAAAAGAAAAACTGCATGAAACCTTGTACATTATGTTAAAACATAGTGCTAATTTATTAAATGCTATGTCAAGCAGGCTGCTATGCAATTATCCCTGCGAGTCAGTGATGACAAGGCAGTATATCAAACGAATACATCAAATCATGTTTCCTCTTTCTTCTAACTATACAACTTCCCCTCTATAACTTTATGGGGAAGAGAAAAGAGAAGGAACAGAGATTTTCATGTGTTGGGAAAAGATATGCTGTTTTATCCCATTTTTCAGGCCTCTGACAGCTTTGTTGAAGAAGAGGGTCCTTCCTTTATGAAAGATTGAAATGAGGCAAGTTGTCTCTGTCTCTGACAGCTGTCAGAGGCTTTCTAATACCACATGCAATTCCCTTAGTAGTAAACCCAACAAAACTTCTACTCACTGAATTAAAACGAACAGCAGCACTTTACAGCACCGCTGAGCTACGAAAGATTGGAAATTATGCATGAACAGTTTTATCCCTGTTCCGATACTAGGAACCATGCACTAGGAAAAAAAAAAGATAATTTTGTGCACTAACAGTCTCTGCATAGGCAGAAATCCCAAATGTTAGTGCATATTCATACACAAGACAGTTTTGCTTAGTTCATAATCTGTGCATTGCAAAATAGTTTTGCTTAGTTCATAATCTGTGCATTGTAAGATCATTTTGGCAAAAGTTGGTACTAGGAGAAAACTCTCAGATATGTTTGTCAGTAACTAAATCCTGTAGTTTGGACTGCATATCCTAGTATTGTTCTGTAGTTACTGTAATGGTCCAGCAACAGCCAAGATCTGCAAGTGAGGACGAGCACAGGAAAGTAAATAGGCTGTCTCACAACAGGATGTGTTGCATGTTTCACCTAGTTTATAAATATAGAAGTCAGAACTGAAATCACATATATATAGCACTAATAAATCTTACCTGTACTTTCAAAGCTGGGGATAGTGGGACAGCCTCCCTTAAACATCTGGTGCTTTCCAAGATTTTATAGACTGTGAAAATTGGTAAGATGTGAAACAGCTGCAGCATCATGACACATGGTTTATTATATATTTCCTGTTTGTGTCACCTTAAAGTCTGTGTCCTTTTGTGTGATGTTTCATTATAGACTTTTTGTGTTTAGTTGCCTTCATTATTGCACAATAAAAGCCAAATGTAGCACATCTTATTGTAGCAGATCCTCTGCAACTCAGAATTTTGCCTGAGAAAAGAAGACAAATACATAATATCACAATTATGAAACTATAATGAATAAGTAGTCCCTCCAGGTATCTATACAAAATATTTAAGAAGTATTTAAAGTAAAGCTGCCACACTGATTTTGAAAATGTGTATTTTGGCAAAACCTGCTTTTGAAGTTTTGCCTGTTAGTTTATCTATCATAATTTCCTCTGTAAAAGTCTCAAGCAAATTTAGCAAATGCAAGAAAAAAAGAATGAGGGGAAGAGCTGTAGTGCTGATGAAGGAGATTGCCTGAGGGAGGAGCTGTCTGATTCTGTTGAATGGGGAAAAGGGGGTTTTCTCTGTCTCACTGCCCAACAGATATAGTCAAAATTATGCTTTTCTCCATGGAACCATACCAATTAACAGCAATAAGGATGAGGGATCCCACTGTTCAGTCTGTCACAGAAACATAGAAGAGATAAATAAAACTATTCCCACTTACAAAAATTCAGACCTGTCTATCTTAGGGAATAACATTAAAATTTAGCAATACTGTTACTCCTCTTTCTTTTGCTAATCTCCATTACAGTCCGTGTTCATATCTTAAGATTCTTTTATTTTCTTAATCTTGGCTTTCCCTACAGTTGATCACTTATTTGCCTTTAATTGCTCTTTTCTCAAGCAGGAATGTCAGCTGCGGAATGAGCCCACCTACCACCTAAGTGGACACCACACTTTCTCTTGGTGCCCTCATTCAGCTTCAGAATCAATACCCATAAAAAGATTATTTTCACGGAAGCAAGTACCTCTCATTCTGACAGCTACCTTAATCACCGGTTCAGGATAGCAAAGAGTCCATAAGGCATTTGGGTTTTTGGGATTTGTTTTACAGTTAGCATTGGAGTTAACTTTCTTTTGTCTTGAGAAAAAATGATAATACTAAATATGAAAGTCTAGCAAGATTATGAGCCAAATATGATAATCCTTACATAATTGAGCACAACAGAAGAGTAAAAATCTGGCTAGTTGTTTTAATCAAATCAGTTACTCTATCTGAGCTTTGTTTTTGTAGACATGTAAAGTAATTCATAAATGCTTTGTTGCTGCAGTTAGTGACAAGATGTAATGAATGTGTAGTAGCATAGCAATGCAATTCATGGAGGTTTGACACTGAATGGCTATTTATAACAGCAGAGAGTATAAGTCCTTTTTCTTTCCCCCCTAAGAATTATTCAATGATAAATCAGACTCACCTTAATCTTACCCCCATGTCTTAATAGATGGGAGATTGTGGAAAACACTTCAAAGGTTGTGCAGTAACAGAGATGTGAAAATAACAGTGATTCTGACAGCTCAGGATTGCATCCCTGTCTGTGGAAAGGAGCCAAGGGTCTCCTGCACTAGTTCATGTCCACAGCCGTCCTTCTGCTTAGACTGGAAAGAAAGTCACTTTGCTATCAGTGTATTCAACATTTGACAAGTTCTGTAGTGTAGTAAGGCAGATCAGCATGTAGTGTGTTCACACTGCAGTATGCAACGCCTGCAAGGCTGGCATCCAGGCTCAGAGAGCCAGAGAAATCTTTTACTTCCACCATCCTGCTAGGCTTCAGCCAGAGAAGAAAATTGTACCTGAAAGGCATCAGCAAAGCTCTCCTTCCAGTGTTGAAGTTGTTTCACTTACTGTCATTACAGCACCTCTGCATTACTAATAAACTTTCTTCTTCTTGTGCTTTAAGAATCCCTTTTTTCTTCTCATCAGTATGACACAGACACTGCCCTTAGGAGATCTTCTGAGGCAGAGTATACCATGCAGTCTCAGAGCAACTAGACCATTTTAAGTAAAACTCCCCAACAAAACCTTACCTACTTAGTCCTAATGAAAGCGGTAGTGCTGAAAATATGCAATCAGTTTTATCTACTGCTTACAAAAGTCCTCAGGTCTCTATGTGTTCTCTCTTCTGTGTGCAAGCACAAGGATAAACATTTTCCTTCAAGAGACCCCCTAGATTTGACTTTTTCTAGTAGCTTATGACAAGAATAACTGTGGTCTTCAAGACTCACTTTGCTTCATAGGAAAATCAGTCTAGAATTGTAATAGCAA